ACAAAGGGCAGAGGAAAAGGCTGCCAACAAAGGTAGAGGAAAAGGCTGCCAACGAGGCAGATGACTAGGCTGCCAACAACGGCAGAGGCTGTCAATCAAGGGCAAACAAGGCTGCCAACAACGACAGAGGCTGCCAACGAGGCAGATGACAAGGCTGCCAACAATGGCAGAGGAAAAGACTGCCAACAATGGCAGAGGCGGATTTGCAGTAGCATATCCAGCAAAAAAACACTTTGTAAAGAGAAAAAGTGGGATAACATCTACAAAGAATATCAATCTAAGCGAAATAGCAGATTACCAACCACAAGAAGATTTGTGAGAGGCCGGCGAACTGACGGAGAAAAAGACACCGAAAGAAACGAAGGTCGGAGGGGGCTTAGGCGATGGCGCGTGGCTTAACGGCGGCAGAAGGTGGTGGTGGGTTAACGGCGGCGGAAGGTAGTGGTGCATGGAGCTCACACGCACGATTTTCGGCAGCGAAAAAAGACGGATTGCGCAAATCGGCGGCCGACGAAGTGAATGGAAAGGGCGGTGAGAAGAGAGGCGGATGAGAATGCATTTTCGAGAGGAGGTCTTGGACAGAAGGAGAAAAAGCCTAGGATTTTATCCCGGCTCTGATACCATGTTAAAACTAATGAACAACGAACGTAGTAAAATATTTTCTGTGTGTATTCTTCTCAATAGAGGTATGAGTATTTATACACAAAATAATAAGCTAAACAAGGAAACCTAATCAAATCAATTCCAAAATTACATTATAATCAAATCTCATAATTATGGTACCCATATATATTAGTATCTAATCATATCCTATAATTATGGTACTAATATATCTTAACATGGTAGATGGTCCTGAGATACCTGTGAACAGAGAACACGTGAACTAGGCCGGGACTTGATCCGACAGAAACCCCTCCGACGCTCAAGTCACACGTGCGGGTAGTGAAGTAGTTGAGAGAATACAAATTTCTCGTATTACTCAGATAATAGGGCGTACTTTTAATAAATGAATTATATCGTTATTTATACCGTATCGATTGGGTTGCGGTTAATTTGTTGGGCCGAAACCTTATTTGAAGAATATTGGTGTTCCGTAATAATATTCTTCTAAATCGGGCTCGTGTCCCAGTAAATAGAGAGATTATAGGCTTATTGGGTTGGCCAATTAGGCATATCACCCTGTTTTATTAAGTGTTTGATTAGAGGCTTATTTCGCTATTATTTTGCAAGCCATAGGCATGTTTTGACTTGTTTGAACTAGTTTGATAGTTAGTTTTTAGGTCAATTAATGTTTGGGTCTTTATGTTTGTGAACACGTTAGTTTTGATACATTTGTGTTAAGAAAACTCTCAATTTAGTATTTGTGTTTATTGAAAATGTTCTAGTATACTGATTGTTACACTAGTGAAATATAAGTACAAATGTCTGGCATAATATATAAAATGTAAATATTGCTCAAACTAGTGAGATAAACTGTGCTCGGAGCAATAACAAAACACTCTCCCAGAATTTACACATGTTTCCTAGATCATGATTGCAGTTCTTTTTTTTTCACAATTCGACCTCCTGCATTTATGCTTCTTTTATTGCAGACCAATGATTTGAGAATTACTACTTGAAGATGCCATATAACTACTAGAAAAAAAAAATTCTTAGAAGAAATGGAGTGAAAATAAAGATTTAACACATGGTGATACTTATAAGAAAAAAAAACAGCTATTTAAAAAAAATCATAAATTACAATTACCCCTTAGGAGTGTTTTATATAACAATTACCCACTATGGCACAAGGGCTATATAAAAAAGTTAGAATTTCGAGGTTTTTAATTGTTAACAAAACAAACAAAAAACATATTACAATTACCCCTCCAGTGGTATATTAGTCTCACAAACACATCTCTCTATTGGGATACGTGTACGAGGGTACATCTAGAATTCAAAAACAAAAACGAATATCCCATGAAATCTTGAAGATTACGTTGATCATGGCGCCGTAAGAGGGTAACTGCTAGGGAAAGAAATAGTTGAGGGGGCTATTGGTAATTGCGGAAACAACAGAGGTGTTATAAGTTATTTACTCATACCTTATCGGATTCCCATAATTTACCCTTTTTTTAATGCATTCGGGCCCCCAGTTTAAACTCTTGGCTCCACTACTGGTAACTAGGGGTGGGCATTCGGGTCGGGTCGGGTTATTCGGGTTATTCGGGTCGCGTTATTCGGGTTTTTTGCAAAAAAAAAACTACCCGAACCCGACCCGAAATAACCGGGTACCCGGCAACCGGGTACCCGGTTATTTCGGGTCGGGTTCGAGTTTTGCTATTTTCCTCTTTTTTTTTTTTTTTTCTTTTTGTTTTTTTTTCCTTCCTAATAATTATTTATTACTTCCAATTCGAAATGTGACATCAAACTTCATAAGATATCAAAAATATATTAGATGTTGCTTTACTTGGATTACAAATACGGGAAGTAAAACATATTGTTATATACACAGATTCATACAAACAAAAGAATTACTAAATTTATTACACAAAAACAATTAATCACAAAAAATAAAAAATAAAAAAAAAATAATATCAAACAAACAGTAACTAAATTTACATAAAATATACATATATATACAGACATACACACATATATATATATATATATATATATATATATATATATATATATATATATATATAATTTTTTTTTCTAACCGGGCACCCGATCGGGTACCCGGGTAGAATTTCTAATACCCGGACCCGACCCGGTTTGGGAGCACCGGGTACCCGAACCCGGGAAAAAAACCCGGTTACGTAAAAAATTACCCGATCCGGTCGGGAAATACCCGGCCGGGTCGGGTTATACCCGACTAACCCGACCCGAATGCCCACCCCTACTGCTAACTGGTAACATCATAAATATTGAAATCTACGATCACTCATATATGCATGTTTTGAGCTACCATTAAAGAAAAACTCTCCACAAAAATACTTTAATATACAAATACTTATGTAAAAAATGCCTGCACAAAAATGCTAACATGGAAACATGAAGAATAATACTAGTACATAAATACTTGCACAATAATACATGTACATACAAAAATTAATGTTAGTGTGATTGACGGTCAACAAAGTAACATTATCAGTCAACAAAAAAAACAGTCCATGTTTGCCTGTTGACTGCTCAATTGTGGTCGGCGATGGTGACACTGTCAAAAATTGGATTGAAATTATGGTTTGACAAATGAAATTGGTAAGACAATAAGGTTTGGGGGTATTAATTAAAATTACGGTTTGAATAATGAAATTGCAAAAAACAAAAATTAGATTTGAAGGCATTTGTATCGTAACGGGCTCTTAGGTAAAATAATCATTTAGTATGGATCTATTTGTAAAACCAATTGGCCCTTATGGGTGTTGGAAAACTGAAGTCAACATAGGAAAATTTGAGCGATTAATTAGGGGGTTTGGGGATTTTGATTTGAAAAGACAATTAAACCCTTGAAAAAGCCAATTGCAATACACATGTTGTGAATTCCGGCTAAAATGGCCTGAAAATAGGCAACGTGGCACATAATAACAAGTTTGTGTCACTTTTTTGTTGAGGTGGTACTTCGCGGCATCGAGAAAGTTTAGATAGTTTAATGTTATTTACCCAAGCATTTATTGAACGTTTAAAATTTGTCGGTTATGTGTGTAATTAATACTTGATTTTTCCCTAAAAGAGATTAGAGTTGTTGTGCAGATTGTGCGACCATTGTGGAAAATTGCGTAATAGGCAGATTTGAGTTGAATAGAAATCTTCTTCACTGTGTATTGTAAGGAGAGGATATCGTGCGGCACACAAAACAGTAGCCTTATCTAAGATGGAATGTTGTGTAAATGAATGATATTTGGTAGTGTACTGAGATGGCCGCGTAAATGAATGATAATTTTTCATCATAAAACAAAAGGAATATGTCTTCCTTGTAGTGATTATAATTTTTAGAATTGAATCCAGATTATTACACACTTTAGTGCTTTATAATTTCCATATGAGGGGTCTTTAAAATAATCTCTTAGAATAAAATAGAGAGGCCCCGACTAATTTTTCCCTATGACAAAAGTGCATTTTTTTTTAATTCCAATTATACCCATTCCCACACACTCACTAACTCGATCAGTTTCTCTAATTACGGAAATTCAAAAATTAAATCCCAACAATTGTGCTCCACTTCGCTCCAAATTCCCTGGAGTTCTCCGGCACGAAACCGCTCGACACTACAATATTTTAGGGCTTTTGCGACGCTTTTTATCCTCGACGGTTTCGAAACCATCGTATAAAGTGCGTTTCTTGACACTTTTGAAACTAATCTTGACACATCAACACTGTCAAGTAAAAGTAATTCTTGACGCTTAAAAACCGTCAACAAAAATAAATTATATAATATATAAATTATTAATCTCTAACGTTATTAACATCACTTTTTTCTCTCAATTTTTCATTTATAATCAGATCAATACAATCTCCCTCTAACCTTCGATTAGGGCTTTTCTCTAAATAATAATTTCTCTTCGACACCGTACCTCCGCCGCCGCGTTCGCCTCCGCTTCCGCCTCCGCCTCCCCCACCGCCATTGCCGCTAATGCCGAGCCGACATCTCTGTTGCTATTTCTTCCCTCAGGATCGAACTAATCATTGTGAAGACAAACTGAAAAAGGCGAAAATCTTTCAACTCCGCAGGTGTTTTGAGTCGCCCATGGATTGCGTGACAGGGTTAGTCTCCTCTGTTATTATTTTCCATTTATATTAATTGATCTCATTCCATCCGTGTAGAATTCAGTATAGGAAGCTGACAAGTGATTTTTCGGTTAATTTGATTGCTTGAATTTAAGGGGTCAAGCTAGGATTTTAAACAAGAGTTTGCAGATTGTGAGAATCTATGACTTGATTTTTAGAATTTTACTTAATTACAGTTGCTAATTTTCCATAGGTTTCAATTTTGATTCTTCCAACTTTTTTATTTACTAGTGTTGTTAATTTCTCAGTTTGTGCACAATGACAATTTATTTTACTTACTTTTCTTATGATACCAATGATTGTGTTTTGAAGGATGCTTTCGAAGAATTTGGTTACCGAAATACTTGTGCAATCTTCCCCGAGACCAAAATGGTAAAATAAACCTATCTAGAACTCTTCAAGTTTGAGATTTGTTTAGAATATGATATAAAATACCATTGATAATGTGCAAATTAATTTGGAGTTACGGCTAAAAAAATGGGATAGTATATACACCATGTTGGGAACTATTTGTCTTATGATTTAGCTCCGTTTCTTCTTTTCAGTTGAGCAAAGGAAAAGTTTCAGCCACTGTAAGTTCACCTGTTTACTTAACGTACTAACGTCTTTTTCGTTACTGTAAAGAAAGTGTACATTATTTGGAGACACTAAACAGATTCTCGTGTATAGCATTAGCTAGTGGCAACAAAGTTTCTCTATGGTACTGCAGAAGGAGGCCTTTCGGATATCAACACGGTTTTGTTTCTCTCCCAAGAACAATAATTTTTTAATTTCTGATTATGGCCAAAAAAATATTTCAAGAAAGCTAACATTCTGAGAAATAGTTTCTCTATGCTTGATTATTCAGATTTTAGATTATTTTTTTTTCATCAACTTCATTAGATTTCTCTCTCTGTGTTGTTTGTTTATTGTAGTTGCTGGATGGCAGAAAATATAGGCATTTTTTATGGCCAAGAAGAGCGAAAGCAATTAAGTCAGGTCTAACGCTAGCTTTTGTTGTTATTATGTTCATTATATAACACATTTTCCATATGTATCTGGATGTTTTTATATACAATGCTCTAACTATAGCACATGGTATGGTATGGTGACTTCTCCTTTTTAAGAATCCCTTTTCTTCCTAGTTGTGCTACAAATTATAAATGGTTGAGTTGATTATACCCTTAAAAATGATTAAACTCATTTTACATACATTTATTATGTGCAGGGAGGACTTGCCATGATTCAGTTGTTGGAATGGTTTGATATATGTTACGCCATTTCAATATCTTTTCATAAATATATGATGAGTTAATTTTATCCAGTCTTGCTATTTGATTTCAAAATTTTTATGCCGACTGCTACTTTATCACTGAAAACTATATGATGAACTTTACAGATTAGGGGATTAAGATCAAAGATTGGCAGCAATAAATGGCCTGCTTTTACGATATAATGCAAGCGCAAGTTCTTGCATTGCAGCTCACCGGTGTCTCTTATTTTGTAGGTTAGGTTAGCATCGTAATTGTGGCTTGCAACATTCTTCGCCGAATATCAGAAAAAATCTCAAAAAGACTTTCTTGTTCTCATTGTCATATGTGCTGAACCACTTTTTCTGGGGTTTTAGAATTTCATGGTCTTTTGCACAAAAAAATTTGTATACAACAAGTTTTATAAGCTTTAAAAGCATGAATTTTGCTTACTCAGGAACACTAACTTTTTTTTCTTCTTTGATTGTTCAGGAACACCTTTTACATTGGAGCATGGGAGCAAGGACATTTTGTTGAACTAAGGATATGTAGACTTTGAAAGTAAATGTATTGTGTAGGTGACTTCAAGTGTTGTTTTGAAGATAGATTTTTTGAAGTTTGGTATTGTGTATTTTTGGAAAGCAAGAATTCATGTTTTGGGGAATCCGAGTGATTTATAGCATGTTTTTATATTCGTACTGGAAAACTATACGAATTTTTGGCATGCGGTTAAATTTTTGTAAGGGTTTATTGATTACAAAAAAAGATATTGAAAAAATATGTACCAATATTCCCGACGGTCTTCAACAGTTGAGAAATGTATTCTCGACGGTTTTGAAAATATGTATGAGTATTTACGACGGTTATCATAGCGTCGAGAAATATTATTCCTGACGGTTTTCTTACACATGGAAGTATATACGACGGCCTTTTTCTTGACGGTTTTGTGACGGTCGAAAACCGTCACGAATAATGTTCCTGACGGTTTTTTCACTTTTCCCGACGTTTTTTTTTTTCGTCGTATAAAGCCTTAAATGTTGTAGTGCGAGCTCCCTATTGATCGTCTCCGCCTCTACAACAATCATTTTCTTTGGTCACCAACATTTTTCTCTATGTCGCAGTAGACGAACTACGGCGGCCCCCGTGCCTTTTTGTATCAATAATTACAGACCTTATTTATGATATTGCCGATCGATCTAGGGCACCGCCACCACACACCGCATACCTTTAACTCATTTGCTACAACCAAGAACAAAAATACAATAAGTTCGACAATTTTTTGAGTCGAACTATGTTAATCGACTATGACTTTCTTAGACTTTATAGTTGATTGACGTAAATCGACGATGGTCCCAACACCACCATCGCCTTGTATGGCGTGGATTTGCTGATTAGACTAGGGAGCGATCCGTCAATGATGCCGGTGAGTTCGAGGGTACCGTATATCTTCCATGCTCCACTTGTAAGTACCTTCACATGTTTCTCCTCCGACATTTTTCCAAACATATTTCTCCTTTTTTTCTATTTCTGCATGGCAGCAGCGGTGGTGGTGGTGGAGATGCTAATTAGTGTAAAAATTAAGAGAGAATAAAGAAGAAGAGAAGAGTGAAGGAGATTTCACTTCGAGAAGCCCAACAAAAAAAAAAGGAATTGCGGAATACGGAGAAGTTTGGGTGAAAAATACATTTTTCGTTTATCGGATCCGTGAAAGATTAATATTTGTACCTAAATAATAAACTTGTTACGATATCGTTTTCACTAGTAGAATCAAACCACACATTTCATCCTAGTTGGATACCGGCCCAGTATATCCGATTTATTTATTACCCGATATTCCATTAATCTTTCAATTTTAAAAATCGTGAAATGCATTTTTTCAAAATCATGCTCACAACAATTATATAATCCCCACATAACATCACAAATATCAATCAAGTACCACATAATCACATAATTATCACAACTAATCACACAATTATCACAACTTACCACATATTTGTAACTTGGGCAATAATCCCAAAATTCACACACATATACACACAACCCGATGGAGGTCTAACCAACAGTTGGCAAGATGATCCTATCCAAGTCCCAACCGGACCAGTAACGAGGAGCCGAGCTAAGCAATTCAAGGAGAAGCTTAATGCATTGATCCAAAATGTCTTAACAAATAAAGCCTCATTCAATGGTGATAAACAAGGCTGGATTATGCATATTCAAGTGGCGCAGTCACCGGACAAGTGTGGGAACCATCCGGGCTAAAGATCAGTCCAAGTTGAGCAAATACGAGCAAGCAGGATGAAGATCAAAGCCCACCTACCTTAAATTTGTGGGTTCATCTCTAATCAGCTCATATTAATGTGTTTATGGGCCTATTCTATTAAGGCCCTCTTTAATTTCGTGGCTCACTTGTTTAGAGCCTTTATTAAGTAGATTTAGGGTTTTAATCTTTGTTGAAGACTAAGTTTTGGGGGCTATATATATGCCTTCTTATTCATTGTGAAAGACAACTTTTGATCATTAATTAAATTGTGAGATTATTCTCTCTAGTTCTTTAAAAAATCTTCGAACATATCGGATGATTCCGTACGTTCACCTGACTTATCAATCAATCTTCCACAATTGATTGTGGTGTCTTCACATACCAAGGTTCTTGTCTCTTTATAAACAACGGGTCGCGGTTCCACCCCTTTTTGATTCCTTCTTTTGGACGGTCCAGGAGTTGATAACCGAAGTATTGTTATCGGGTCTCTTCACATGGTTGGCGTGGTTCATATCATTTGGTAATCAGATCCATCTTCCAAGAAGGTTTCGTCTATCCTTTTGAGTCTTTTGTTGTTTTTATTTCGTTTCTTTCCGTATTCTATATATTTCTTCCTTCTAGTGTCATCTTTTCTTGTTATATTTTGTTTCCTTCATCTCATCTGTTGTTGAGTCATTAAATTCGTGCATACCTTCTTTATCTTGTTCGTCTTGAGTCTGTTGTCCAAAAAAAAAAATCCTGAAAAAAAAAATCCGAAAAAAAGAAAAAAAAAGGAAAAGAAGCAAAAATCAAAATTATTTGAAAGGAATAAATTCCTTGGTTGTATTATAAGTAGTTGGAAAGGATCCGAATACTGCATCTTAAGTTATGAAGGGTATATTTTGTTTCCTATCCTCGGGATCCTTGAATATCTTGTCTTCTACTCTATATCTACTTCCTTCCTACACTCTTTTGTTTCCTATAATATTAATTTCGAAATTCAAACAAAATATATTACTCGTGACTATCCAAAGGTCATTAAATTATTCTCATATTCTATTTCGATTCAAGTTCATCGTTCATCTTCTAAATCAATTCCTGATAATTCGTGGTGAACTGTTGCTGAAAATTCTGATATTTGTTTGGTGGGTTTGATTGAGACTATTGAGAATTTGAGAGGAGAAAGGCAAGAGTGGTGAGTTCATAAGAGGGTAAAAGCCAAAATTTATTGTGTGCAAACACGAGTGAACTTGAGTGATATCCATTTATTGAGTGAAACACGTAAGGGAGTGTGTGAGGTCCATATTTTCTTCTAACATTGTTTTGCAGGAATCATGTCTAACAATCAAACAAATTTGGAAGACACACATAGGGAGGTTGATCAAAAGTTTATGATGGAGGCGTTGATGAGTGAGATGAAGAGATTCGTGAGGGAAGAGATGGAGCAGATTCATGAGCAGATGGATCAAATGGAAAACTCACGACAAGAGTTTCCCTAGACCATTCCTAACGTGCAAAGAAGACGACAAGCTCCACCTAGAGAGGCTAGGGCAGAAGAGGATGAGTATTACAGTGATGACTTCGATGACCAACATTCCGTTGCTGTAAATAGAAGGTTTGGAGCGAGGGTTCGCGATGCTCGAAACCGTGAGGATAACAATTTGGGAAAAATAAAGGTGAATATACCATCGTTTCAGGGCAGAAACGATCCTGAAGCTTACATTGAGTGGGAGCGAAAGATGGAGCTGTTGTTTGATTGTCACAATTACTCGGAACACAAGAAGGTGACGTTGGCAGCGATTGAATTCTCCGATTATGCCATCATTTGGTGGGATCAATTGGTGCTGAATATGAGGAGAAATAGTGGCAACTGGGGACGAGATGAAAACCCTAATGAGAAAGCGGTTCGTGCCAAGCTACTACTTCCGAGAGTTGTATCAAAAGCTACAGAATTTGAAGCAACGAAGTCGTAATGTTGAAGAGTACTTTAAGGAGATGGAAATTTCAATGATCCGAGTAAATATTGAGGAGGATCGGGAGGCTACTATGGCAAGGTTCTTGGCAGAGATGAATAGAGAGATTGCTAACGTAGTGGAGTTGCAACACTATGTTGAGATGGATGACATGGTACACATGGCCATCAAGATTGAGAATCAGCTCAAGCGGAGGGGTTACAATCCATGATCAGCCCTAGTTCGAGTTCATCTTGGAAACATAATGTTGGTAGCAGAGATGAGAAACCGGCTATGACTAAACTCAACATTCGAACCAAAGCAAAACACTACCAACCATGCAGTCCAAGGTAAAATAGATTCGAATACAACTCGGAATCGTGATATAGAGTATTTTAAATGCCATGGCAGGGATCACAAAGCAAACGAATGTCCAAACAAGAGAGTTATGGTGCTGATGATGGTGGGTTTGAGACTGAAGAAGAAGAGGATTCCACACCACCACAAGAGGATGATGGAGAAGAAGAATATGCAGCACATGGTGAACTATTGGTTGCAAGGAGAGCTCTAAGCGTGCAAGCAAAGGGAGATGAAGAAGCACAGCGAGAAAACATCTTCTACACTAGATGTCATGTTCGAGACAATGTGTGTAGTATGATCATTGATGGAAGGAGTTGCACCAATGTTGCTAGCACTACGATGGTGGAGAAGTTAGGGCTGCCTACAACCAAACATCGACAACCATATAAGCTGCAATGGCTTAATGATAGTGGAGAATTGAGGGTGAACAAGCAAGTGTTAGTATCATTTGGCATTGGAAAGTATGAAGATGAGGTACTGTGTGATGTTGTTCTGATGCAAGCTGGACACATGTTACTTGGTCGACTGTGGCAATCTGATCAACGGGCCAAGCATGATGGTTTCACCAACAAGTACTCATTTGCGTTCAACCAAAGAACAATCACTCTAGTTCCTTTATCGCCACAACAGGTC